GTCCCAATCCTATTACCAGAACAAACATTTATTTCTTTTATATTATTATATTTTCTTTTATTTTTCACATCATTTTATTTGCTTTATTTTATATCTTTAATTATCATTGTGTGTTTTACTACTTTTACATTATTTTAACCCCCCGTGTGAAATATTTTTCTAAATTAGAATGCCATATATTAATTTTAACCTTATCTTTATTACAATCATCTTCATCATGCCATCCATTTTTAAAATCAATCAAGCTATCACCAATTTTATATTTGTATGCTATATTTCTTTGTTTTATTTTCTATACCTCAACCACTCAACCATTATAAACCATTCAAACCCCACCATTATTATAACCATTTTTTGTGAAATACAAGAAAAATTAAATAATACATACGATTCAAGTGAATTCTGGAAAACAATAGCTCGCTTCAGAAAAAGAAACTATACACAGGGCAATATCTCATTATCGGACTGGCAGCAATTTTACAATAAACTCCTGGATACAGAATCAATACCAGATTACGAACCCGTTACTATGACCTTCTTAAATACAGATAATGAGCTAACTAAATGCATAACTATTAATGAAATAAGCAAAGAAATTTCTCGAATAAGCCATGGCAAGGCGACTGGTTTTGACGACATAATGAATGAAGCAATAAAGGCCCTCCCAAAAGATTATCTAACTTCCTTAAAGGATATATTCAATAGAATTTTGAGAACGTCTGAATTTCCGACAACATGGTTGAAATCAGTTATTCAACCAATTTTTAAGAATGGTGATCCAGACGACTCCTCTAACTATCGAGGCATAGCGCTCTTAAGCAATATAGCAAAATTATTTACATCAATACTTAAATCTCGTCTAGGCAGTTGGATCGAAAGGAGAAATATAGTTCCTGAGAACCAGGCGGGATTCAGGGCCGGCCACTCTTGTCAAGACCATATATTCACTCTATCATCCCTGATTCAAATGACTCTAAGCCGAAAGAGAAGAAAATGCTACATGTTCTTCGTGGATTTGAAAAAAGCCTTCGACACAGTGCCCCACTCATTATTATGGAGAAAACTGGTAGATGCAGATCTCAACCACCGTTTTGTTAACTTAATTAAAGATTATTACACAAATATGACAGCGGTAGTGCGATGGAACAATTCATTCACTGCGCCAATAAAGGTGCGTTCGGGAGTTTTACAAGGGGAGCCGATGTCACCTTATTTATTTATACTTTTTATAAATGATTTAATTGGTCTCTACAATAATTCAGATTTACCGGGAATATATCTCCCAAATTATGGATATGTTCATATTCTACTATACGCAGACGATATTGTCTTGATTGGAGAATCCAAAAATAACCTTCAAATAAAAATCAATATGCTAAGAAAATATTTTGAAACAAATTTATTAACCCTGAATGAAAATAAGTCAAAAATTGTAGTTTTCAGAAACGGCAGTCGATTAGCACAAAATGACAAATGGTTTTGGGGTGAGCGGCAACTGTCTGTTACTACGAAATATCTATACTTGGGATATCCGCTTACAAGTGCAAATTCACTAAACAAGGTAGCGTCACACTACAAGGGCAAAGCCCTGGCAGCAATTGGCGCTGTGTGGCAAGCTCTGGCAAAATCCAAGATGAACTCTCTAAATGCGGCAATGAGATTACTTGATTCGACGGTCTTGCCTCACATGCTATACGCCGCACCTTGCTGGGCACTCAACCAAGTAAAGGTAGTTGACCAGGTTCAGAATATTTTCCTAAGACGGTACCTAAATTTACCAAAGTATACTCCGGGATTTATGCTAAGAATGGAGTGTGGACGAGTATCACAGAGAGTTATTTTAACTAAACAGGTCCTGAGATTTTGGGTGAGGATTATGAAAATGGAAGAGAGTAGGTTGCCCCGGGCATGTTTGTCACACCTCTGGACATTACACAGCAATCAAAGGGCTGGTTTAACCTTTGTCGAAAACCTGTCAACCATTTTAGATTCAAACGGTTTTTCGTTCCTGAAGGGTTGTCCGGATTACACTGCAATACTGACTGAAATCCATGCTATAATTCGAATAGCAACCGAACAAAGCATCCAAAACGACATGGCGAAAATTCTAAATACTTCACATTACAGTCACTTCAAATACCTAAAAAATTCAATAACAGCAGAACGATATTTATTCACAACTATTCCTCTAGTAATTAAAAGATTTTTTGCACAACTGAGACTCCTTTGGACGGTCTTCCCAGAAAATCGTTCAAAGCGCTGGAAGATTGATTTGACTCTAACTTGCGATCTGTGTAAAAACAGAATCCAAGACGAAATTATGCATATAATATTTGAATGCTCTTGCTTAGAGAAACAGAGGAAAGAAATTTTGGGTGACTTACCCTGGTCTCAACCTGACTGCCAACAAATTTGCAGCTGGATGAACACACTGATGGTTGATCAGGGTCTCTCCCTCGGTTTATATAAATTCTACAAGGCCGCAGTCAATGTCCGTTGGAGAATAATGGATTCGTCGAATGTCGTGATTTGCTTGGAGGAAGAAAACGAAGATTGAACGCGGCTGATTCCACACTAACCCTCTCAATGATATCCTAACCTTGACATATTCTAAACATTGGTACTTTAATTTAAATATTTAATCATGTATGGTTCCTTTTGCTCTGTATGTTTATTTTTGTATATATGGTTATAATTATTTTTGTTTGTTTTTTATTTCTTCTCTCTTTCCTTATTACTTCTTGTATTCTAGTTTTTATTTTTGAAATATCTTCCTTTGCTAAATCCTGTAGAGGGGAATCATGTATAGGGCTGGATGCCCCAATAATAAAGGCTTGTGTGTGTGTGTATTATAACCATTTTATGTTACTATTATCATTATTCATTATATCTTAGAATATTCACAACCCTCATCAATCATTCATATTATTAAATTTAGAGTATTTTTTCATCTCTGTCATCATATATAGATTTTAAAACTTTACAACTTCGAACTCTTAAACATAATTTGAGTTTATTTCAGCAGTATAAAATTTTTTATTACCTCTAGATCGTCTATTTTCTAATATCCTTATTTCTATTAGATTAATAGTATTATTACTTTTTTGACGCCTCTCTCTATCGCTATCTCCCAAACCTATCTTCCTATATCACTTACTCACACCTCTTTAACCCACTTCCTCTCAACCTCATACAGTCTCCCATAGGGTTCCTGTTGCCAACCATTTTTATTTATTTTTATTAATTCATCTATTGGACCATCCTTCCTCGGTATACTATTCCCGATAACGAGTTCAGGAAATCCATAGATTCTATCTTTTTTTTTTTTTTATCCATCACCCGGCACAACATCATTCATTACATTCAACAATGTAGGGTTGTTCAATCATCATTGGCAACAGTACCCTTTACCTTTCATATTTACCGCAGTTAAGAGTCTCCTGCTCGCCAAACAAACTTTTATTTTTTATTTTTTTTATTTTGAATCAACCAGCTGCCTCAACCTTCCTCGCTGTACACTTCCCAACAGTGAGCTCAGGTGACCAGTTAGAGTTTTTTTTCTCTCAACGCTAGGATTACCATTACAACCATCATTTTTACCATTTTGTTACTTTTTTTCATTTTCTTCCGAGCTCAATCATCATTGGCAACAGAGCAACTCTTGACTCCACCTTTCCCATTTCTCCACTTTCAACTTACCTACCTCCCCTGTCTGATCTAATGTTTTTTTTTTTGCTTATCCCTTGTACACGTGGTACAGGCCATGATAATCATGATGGGTAGTTAGCGACTGCTTTTTTACTGTAAGCACACCACATGTCTACACATGGGAAAAGCAGTTCGACTTTTGCACTTACAAATGTGCCAGAGCCCCGTTTGGCTACTTGCACTCGCTGGTGGGGTTGGACTTTTGCAAGAATCGGGGGCCATTGGAGCATGATCTAATGTTGATTATGGAAAGTCTTGGGGGTTCGGTCAATAAAAACAATACCTCACTTACAAAGGCACGTATTGCATTGCTCTCTTTTTACCACTGCGTCACTCTAAACCTTCAGATATCCATTATGAGTTGACTTGTAACATTTTAATACTTTTGATAAGTTCGTTTCCCTTTTTCTCTCTCTCACCGTGTGAGACGTCTCTGAAATTATAATTATGAAAAATAAAAAAACAAACCATAATGGCATTTCAATTTATTTACCACTTTTGACTTTTCCAAACATCGTCTAATTTGCGCTTATAAGCATTGCATCACGTGGGGAACACACTAACCTAAATACTTATTATATTTTTAAATCTTACCCATTTATATTTTTACGATCTCCTTAATGTGTGCCATTTTATATTTTAGAATCAATCAGATATTTTTGGATATTTCTTTTACATTATGATATTTCTTTTCCTTCCATCCCTGAACAGCTAAAACCATTAGCCAACCTATATAACATCACCTGAAACCTTATATTCTTTGACATCATTTCTTTTCCATAGCCTAGGTCTAAGATAATTTAACTCTAAAAATTTGTTTGAACAGTGACGCCTTCTACCAACTCTCCCTTCTCATATCTTGATCCTTCCAACTCTGCCTTCCATACTTTTCTCGACTCTTGATCCCTTTCCTTAGGCCTTCTATGCCTTCGTTCTAACCACCCCTCGTCCATCGCAGAGTTACTGTTCGCCAACTTTTTTTTGTTGTTATTGATTTGCCCCAGTGGACTAATCCTTCCTCGCCATCCCATTCTGATGGTGTGTTCAGGAAAATCCATGGCTTATTATTATTATTATTTTTTTCATTTACACCCGGTTCACCGTCCCAGCATTCTTCATTTCATTCTTTTTTTATTCAAACCCGGGTTCAATCAATCAATGGCAACAGTCGAACCCCGTTTTCACAATCTACCCCCATCCTCTAACCTCTTCAACGGTTCCTGAGACTCCTGCTTGTCAACATTTTTTTTTAATGATTCATTGACCTGGTACATTCTTCCTCCCCATGTTAATTCCACACGGAATCGAACCCACAATGTTCCGCTTACCGGGCAGATGCCATGTCCACTAGGCTACCCTGGACGTATTTTTCCGTTCGTAAATGATACATTATACATTAACAGAGTTACTTTACGTATCATTTAAGAACGGATAAATACGTCCAGGGTAGCCTAGTGGACATGGCATCTGCCCGGTAAGCGGAACATTGTGGGTTCGATTCCCATCCCTGGACACTTTTATTTTCCGTTCGTCATTACTCTTCATAATTCATCCTTTCATACCTCATCCAAAAAGGTTAGAAATGGTCGATATTTCACCTTAAAATACAATTTCGATTTTTCGATTAAAAGAAACTCATGCGGTGTAACTTCAAGTGTCGTTTTACAATCACAGGCCGCAGTGTATTATATTGTATTATAGTTACTTTATATATCATTTACGAACGGAAAAATACGTCCAGGGTAGCCTAATGGACATGGCATCTGCCCGGTAAGCGGAACATTGTGGGTTCGATTCCCATCCCTGAACACTTTTATTTTTCCGTTCGTCATTACTCTTCATAATTCATCCTTTCATACCTCATCCAAAAAGGTTAGAAATAGTCGATATTTCACCTTGAAATAAAATTTTGATTTTTCGTTTAAAAGAAACTCATGCGGTGTAACTTCAAGTGTCGTTTTACAATCACAGGCCGCAGTGTATTATAATGTATATAGTATAGTTATGAGAATTTTTAGATTTTTATTTTTTTTTAATTTAATTTAAACATGTGAGGTTTGTTTTTTATTTTTTTTTTTGTAATAAATAACACAGGCCTACAAAAAAAAACCTTTTTTTTTGCCGGAGAAAACCTGATGTTGATTGAAAGGTAACTTTTCATGCTGAATTCAAAAATGAAATCAGAAGTTTTCCATCACCCATAGTTCTTGCAGGATAACAATATTTTCTATAAATTGGTACATACAGTAAAAATGCAGAAAATGTTACGTAAGCATTTTTAAGTAAACATCATTACATTAGCTAACTCTTTATTTTTGACAAGAAGAGTTGATATGTGGAGCCAAAAGCTTTATTTTATTTGTTATTAAATGGATTTTGCTCTTTATGAATCATAAATATTAATATAAATAACAAATTATTGAATTTTTAATTGAATAGGTTCATTTTATAATGCAATCTGTTTTGCTTTCAACTAAAAAATAACGACAAGTTCTGGAATGCTATTTGCTGAATAACAGTTTTAATATACGAGGGCCATCCAATAAAAAGGTTTCCCTATTTTTTAGAAAATAAACAAAATTATATACTATTATGCAGTTATTTTATTTTAATTATAAAACTCATAGACTACATCTCTACATAATCACCATTTCTGTCCAAACATTTTTGGCACCGTTGTAGTAATTTTTTGAATCCACTATTGTACCAAGCCGTGTCCTGTCTTCGTAGCCAGTGGTTCGCCTCCGCCTGCACTTCGTCATCATTCGCAAAGTGCTTGCCTCCAAGGTACAACTTGAGTGCTGGAAAAAAAAATGGAAGTCGCTTGGGGCAAGTTCCGGAGAATAAGGTGAATGTGTGAAAATATCCCATTTAAGGTTTTCCAGCAACGTTTGGGTCGTTCGAGCTGCGTGAGGGCGAGCATTGTCATGGACGAGCAACACTTTCCGAGACAAAAGCCCAGGACTTTTCCGTTTTATTGCAGTTCTGAGTTTAGTGAGGACTTGCAGTACCTCGCAGCGTTAACCGTAGTGTTTGGGGGCAGGTAATCAACCAATAAAACCCCCTTACAGTCCCAAAATACGATAGCCATAACTTTGCCTGCAGAGATTGGGACCTTCGATTTTTATGCACTTTCCTCAGGTTTCTTTCACACCATGCTTTGTCGTTTTGTTTCTGGAGTTGAATGATGCACCCAGCTTTCATCTCCAGTGACAATCCTGGAAAACAGTTGATCTCCATCTCTTCGATGAATTTCCAGGAAAGCTCGGGCTGCCTCCATCCGTTGTTGCTTGTGATTTTCCGAGAGCAAACGCGGGGCCCATCTTGCGCAGACTTTGCGAAAATTCAAAACATCTGACATGATTTTTCCAATCGAAGAGCGTCCAATTTCGATTCCAGGAGGCAGTCGAATCATTATTTCGTCAATGGTGACGCGGCAATCTGTTTCCACCACATTCCGAACAGCAGCAACGGCTTCATTGTCCGTAGCAGTAACGGGCCTGCCGCTTCGCTCGTCATCATGCACGTTTTGCCGTCCTTCCAAGAACCATGAACGCCATCGGCGAACCATTTGGATCCTCATACATCCTTCACCATACACTGACACTAAATTGCGATGAATATTGACCGCAGTTTCATTTTTCGCCGTGAAAAAACGAATTACAGAACGGAGTTCGCAAGTGAACACGTTCACCAGTGGTAGCTCCAAGGAAACTGAAGCGCTCCGGACTTGCACGTACGAGTGGCGTGATTTTGAAGGTCACGCGCTTCCAACGTATCCTAGTGACCATTTCTTACACAACTAGCTAATTTTCACAACGTTTCGTTCGCAGAAAAAAATAGGGAAACTTATTTATTGGATGGCCCTCGTATACATATTTAAATTGAACCTAACGATTTGTTTAATAGATTTGCATAAGAAGTGACAGGTAAATTTCAAATGATCAGTTTATTCTTCTCTATCGATTTGCTTTTATAAATCGTTTGCACTAGACTTTGTCAATATGCCGAGGCGTTGCATTAATATTCATGACATTTTCTGTTACATTTGTGGGGAATTACCTTTCAAAGTTCAAAGGCGAAACTTTACACTGCTCATCAAAAAGTGCTATCAACTTTATTTTGGCTGTAAAGTCGGTGCCCAAGATAAGAATTGGGCTCCTCATCATTGTTGTGAAATTTGTGCTCGACGTCTCACAGGATGGATTAAAGGTGAACGTAATATGCCTTTTGCGGTTCCAATGATATGGAGGGAACCTAAAGACCATTCTTCAGACTGTTTTTTTTTTTTGTTTGACAAAGGTATTACATCAGGTATTACATCCAAATCAAGACATACAGTTGAATATCCAGATTTGCCTTCTGCTATGAGACCGGTTCCTCATAGTGATATTTTACCTGTGCCACAGCCTCCTGAAAATGTAATATTTAATAACGATGATTCAGATAGACGAGAGCAACAGTCGGATGAAAAATTTTGAAGCAGGTGCTTGATCTGAACCTCATTTTGTTAACCCAAGGATATTTGAACGACCTCGTATGTGATTTATATTTATCCAAAAAAAAAAAAAAAAAGAGAGAACCTTCAGGCTCTAGGTTAAAAGGCTGGAAACTTCTGCACAAAGGCACAAAAGTATGCTTTTTTTCGCAAGCATCAAGATGAATTTCAAGACTTCTTTTCACAAGAGAATGATTTAGTATATTGCAATGATGTTGTTAGTATAATGGAAGCCTTTGGTCATGACCATGATACAGTAGAGTGACGTTTATTCGTTGATTTTTCAAAATTTAGTGTAAAAGCTGTTCTCCTTCACAACGGGAATAAGTTACCATCAGTGCCAATAGCACATGCATCTAACATGAAAGAGACTTACGAAAACATGAAACTGCTTTAAAAAAATATAGAATATGAAAGATACGGTTGGAAAATATGCAGCGATTTGAAAGTCATTGCTCTCTTGCGTGGATTACAGCTTGGATATACAAAATTTTGTTGTTTTCTGTGAGAGTTGGATAGCAGAGATAAGGAAAGTCATTACATTAAAAAAAAAGCTGGTCAAACCGTGAAATCTTTACTCCAGGACATAAAAATATTGTAAATCCTCCCCTGATCGATTCAGAAAATATTTACTTACCACTATTACATATTGAACTGGGATTAATGAAGAACTTTGTCAAGGCAATGGATCGAAATGCCAGTGGATTTGCCTACCTAAAACAAAAATGTTCTAGCATAAGTGATGCGAAAATTAAAGAAGGCATTTTCGTTAGACCTCAGATTCGAGAATTTCTACAGGATGGAAATTTTCAAAATAGTTTGAATGAAGTTGAAGCAGCAGCATGGAATTCCTTCAGAAACGTTTGAAAGAACTTCTTAGGAAGTGTCAAGGTTGAAAATTACCGAGACATAGTTAATGATCTGTTGCTTTCCTACAAGGCACTGGGATGTAACATGTCTCTCAAGATCCATTTCCTGCATTCACATATGGATTTATTTCCAGACAATCTTGGTGCAGTAAGCGATGAGCATGGTGAGAGGTTTCATCAAGATATATCAAGCATGGAGAAGCGGTACCAAGGTAAATGTAGTCCCGGTATGCTTCCTGACTACTGCTGGACACTCAAGAAGGATGTACCACAAGCAAAGTATAGAAGAAAATCAACTGTCACTACTTTTCAATAAAATAAATATATTTCGTTCATATAGGCCTATATTTTAAAAACATTTCCAAATTTCAAATAGGTGTATCTCAAAATTATTGCGTGATAGATAAAAACTAATGGTATATTTGGAATCAGCACAAAGAGTTAAGTTTAGATAAGATGCTGTTTCTTTTGGGACAAAGAAAAATAATGTTTGATAAACCAGTGTAATGTAATAAGGTTTATGCAAAAATCTTACATAATATTTTTTGCATTTTTTTGCTGTATTTATCCCAATACCAAAAAAAAAAAGGCTGTCACGCAAAAACCATGGGTGATGGAAAATTTCTGATTAGATTTTTGAGTTCAGTATGAAAATTTACACTAGAAACACCATCAGGTTCTCTTGGGCAAAAATGTTGTTGACCAGTGTAATTAGTTAGAATATATTATAATAAAAAAAAAAAGAAAGAAAAAAAAAAGAAACACTAGCAAAGCATCGGCAGTTACGCGTCATAGGCTGGGTGAAAAAAGAAATAAGCGAATAGAAAGTTTTATAGAGACGAGCAAAGAGAGAACCATGATAATAATTTTCCAAATATTAAATTAAGCTAATTAGAGAGAGAGAGAAGTATTTTTTTTTCTGCTCTATTTTCTCTCTTGATGAAAGAAGATAGATTTTTGTGAATTTCTTTTTTGGAGATTTTTTTTATAAGCTT